AAGCAGGACATCCTATACCATCCTGGACAAATGGCTGTCCAGTTCTCCTCTTAAGAATCTCCAGCGATGGATCACCCACAACTTCTGGTGGAAAGCGGTTCCATTGGTTAATTGTTGGGAAATTTCAGTAAATAACCAGTAAAATGTGTTCCATGGCCGTCTTAAGCCCTCGCTAAAATTAAGAAATGGGTTAGGAAGGTAGCAGTTTTCTGAATGCAGAAATTGCTCTGGATGAAACTAGAATAGCAGCTCCAGGGAAGCCCCCAAAGTGCTTTTTCAAAGTGCAACTGGCTTCTTCAACTCTGATGCTTCTTGGATGAGAAGCAAAACATCTTCAATGGAAAATACAAAGTCCAGTTGCCTTTTGAAAAAGCACTTCTGGGACCACCATGAACTGGATGCCTGAGAATCTCCAGAGACAGTTCTAGGGAAGTGTCCTTCTTTTCCAAGAGGATAACCTGTTCAACTTTCTTCTGCTCTGCTCTTAACTCAGGGCCCTACCGTGCTGCTCCGTGTGTCCAAGTTGGGAAACTTTTTGTTGATATATTTGATAGAGGACTCCATTGTCTTCTCCATGAGGAACGGAAGCTTGGCCTGGGAATCCGTGCATGTCTGCAAAGATAACAAAGCCAAGTCAAAACAGCATTTGTTTATGTGCATAATTATTAGGCTTTTCATAATCTCACACTCACTGCAGCATGCAGCTAATCTCTTTCTTCCCTTAGAAATGAAAATCAGAAATGGCAGAACAAAAAATAACAACTCACGTGGGAATAAACAATGTCATTTGCCAGGAAAAACAATAGATAAACAGATTTTCAGGGGACTGATCCATCTTTGCTGTCAGGACATTCTTCCTTCTCTCCAGCTTTGTTCACTTGAATGGTTATTTATTTATTTTCAATGGTTAATTGAGCAAAGTGGAGGAAACAAAAAAGTCAGCTCTGTATCTTTTGTTCCCTTAGCTCCTACTTTGAGGTTTTGATGGTTTGATGGAAATGGAACAAGCTGCCTCATTGGTCATTGGTCAATTATTACCCTAGCACAGGCAAATGAGTCCCTTTTAAAAGTACTAGCTTAATAGAAGATCATGAATCAATCCATTAAAATGACATCCTCCAAAGTGGTACTCTAAATGCAGCCTTTCTCAAGCTGGAGCCCCTCCAGATGTGTTGTTCAAACCAACAGTAAAAGCATATATGTCACAGGAGACACTATTACGCCCTCATCAAAAGCATTAAAAATGCTTCAGAAACAGCACATTAAGTTTAACTTCCCTCCAGGTGAGGGGTCAGTGGAGATTTAAAATGTCTATTAGTTGTTTTATTTACAACCAGAATATCAATGGAGATCAGCAGTGGGCATCTCTACAAGCAAATGAAACTACAGTTAGATCCTTATTAGATTCCTAGCATCCTAAAATTCTCTCTGCCTCTCCATCTCCATATGACAATACAGTAGAACCTCTAGTCACGGCCAGAATTTGTTCCGTAAGTTTGGTCATAAACTAATTTGGTCATGACCCGAACTTTGGAAATTTGGCACTTACAAAAAAAATGATACAGAAGGTGAAATTGGCTGTGGGAAAAAAAATTTGGTCGGAACCCTATTTGGTCGTGGTCAGAAGTGTTCATGACCAGAGGTTCTACTGTATATTAAACCAAAGCAGATGTGGGAGAAGAGCAGTCAAAGCTGGGAGGGGTGGAGTTAAGTGAGACATGAGCCTAGAGTCACTACGTTCACACAAATAGTACAAGTGCCACCCCCCCTTGAATGCCATTGACCCTTATCTGGCACCAGTTTAGTACTGTATGTTAGTTGACTCGATTTTTGTGCATAGGCTTGAGCAATAAATCTTCTCAACCAAGACTTATGTGTGATCCTGATCCTTCAAGCACAAAAGTGCATAATTTCTCTTGTCTCAAAGTGAGCACCAGATTTTGTATAGTCACAATTCATTAGAATGGGATAAAGGAATAATTACATGGGAGGGAAACAGTGGTGGGATTCAAAAAATTTTACTACTGGTTTTGTCAGCGTGGCATGATGGGCATGGAGGGCGTGCCAGGGGAAGGATACTGTAAAATCTCC